TGAACCACGAGGCGAGGGCTACGCAATGGGACAGACCGACCAACACTACGTTAGTTCACTCCCGTCGACACAATCACAACACAAACACTGAACAAAACGCGGCGAATAACAGTTCAAACGTGGCGTCGGGCGCCCCCAGCGGTAGCGATGCGCCGGTTGTGAGACCATATCAGCGGCGGTCGACTCGACACCGCAACTATTTGGCTCGCAATCACTTACACGAAGCCGTATTGAGTGCCACAAACTCTCATCCAAATCGATCACAAACTCAAACAACAACAACAACTCAATCAGAATTGCGTACAAATGCTAACACAGACGCGACGGTCAGTGATTTGCCCGAAGGCTACGAAATGCGACAAACGTCTCAAGTATGACATTGTATTGTATTTGTCACTGATTTTCATATATTAACGCACTATAATGTGTAATATAGGGTCAGGTGTACTTCTACCACGTGGAGACGGGTGTGTCCACTTGGCACGACCCCCGTGTGCCCCGAGAACTCATACAACAGGGCATTAATTTAGACCAACTCATAGGGCCAATGCTCAATGGCTGGGAAGTGCGACAAACCCAATCGGGTCGTCAATACTATGTCGACCACAACAATAGGACGACTCAATTCACTGATCCTAGACTTGTGGCCATAGAGAGAGAGAGAGAGAGAGAGAGAGAGAGAGAGAATGAGGGAGGGAGAGGATAGGCATCTGGCAGACAGTGCACTAACTTTCGACTAGACATCACTTGTTAACAGCCTTTGGGGCAATACTTTTTGATGGGAAGGAAAAAGTTTTTTAGTTTTTGCAAAATATACTGTACATTGAAAATGTATGGCTGAAGTATAGCACCACTGGATTATTATATTAAATAAAGACTTTAATCGCATAAATCATAAAATATTAGTTGCCTTAACATTGTTTGACATATAATTGGTATAGCATTTGCATTCGTATCGGTCTTAGGAGTAAAACGCTATGCTTTTATGGATGTATTGAATGGTATTGTTTGAGACAAACAGTAATTTATTCACAAAAAACAACTAATGATATGCTTTGGAGAGTCGGAAAGAGGTTTGCCTGTAATGCTGTGAATGCTGTGAATGCGGAGTACAGTCTCATTGTAATTGTTGTGGAGTTGTTGTGCAGTGAATGCCATTGGTTTGAACGGCGATGAGTTCACAAAGTGATGGCATTGTTGTGTTGCACTCAAAAACACCTATAATTGAGTCCTGAATACCAGTGAAGAGAGAGAGAGAAAGAGAGAGAAATATTTGGTATATTTTGATCTTCAGATCACAATAATTGAGTGTTGGATGTGTTGAGCAGATCTGTTTGGGCGATGATATGATGCGATTGTCGTTGTGGTAGTGTCTGCTGCAGACGTTGTCGTTGTGGTGAGTGATCACCTGTTTGTCACAGCAAATGGCATCACAACAGCAAACCAACCGCAGGAATGGCTCCATGAAGATCAGACTCACGAGTAAGTGTTGACATGTATTGATAGCCATTACCACTACAATTATCTCACCACTTGTCCACACATTATCCCTAAATCATTGATTGTATCGCTAATTGTGTTATATTTCTAATACCCGATAGTATTGTGCGCTAAAAATCTGGTCAAACGAGACTTTTTCAGTGAGTATTTTTGCCATTCATTTGATTTCGGATACAATTTATTGTTGTTTCCATCGATTATTTATTTATAGATAGTATTAATGTATAAATTAGTATTAAATAAACATTAATCGCATGATAAGTAATGATTAGTTGTTTTGCTAATGAAGTGATTGTGACTTTTATTGATTTAATGTATTGATTATTGATTGATGTGTTGTTTCGCGTCCAACAGGTCTTCCGGACCCGTTCTGTAAGATATGTGTTGACGGGTCGGGTCAGTGCCACTCAACCGATGCCTCGAAGGACACACTCAGTCCCAAGTGGAACAAACACTACGATCTGTAAGCATATCTTCAGTATAAACCAAATGTCATACCAATTGACAAGTAATGTCCATCACTACTATCTCTATAGATATGTCGGTAAATCAGATTCAGTGACAATAAGTATATGGAATCAGAAGAAAGTCCACAAGAAGGCCGGCGCCGGCTTTTTGGGTTGCGTTAAGATTATGCCAAACGCTATTCAAAGCCTTAAGGATACCGGATGTATGACTTCATCACTATTTTTATAAAACTCTCACTTTGTCTTCACTTGTTTTTCCTCTCATTAATTGTTTGATTTATTTATTATTTCCGTTTATTGTCCGACGATTTTTTGACATGTATTTTATGTTTTGTTTGTTTATGGAAAAAGTTTGTCAATTTTTATTTACTTTCTGTCTATGACTTGTAGTCATTGTTAATTATTTTCATGAATTTTATTTAATATTAGGTTTGCGTTAATTTTATTACTATTACTTATGAGGATATAATAGGAACTAATTTAAGGACAAAATGATTGGAAATGTGTTAAAATGTTGATAAATATCTAATGATTGATGTATTGAACTATATTTTGCTCAACAGATCAAAGGCTAGATTTGCACAAATTTCGCGAAGAAGACCAGGACTTAGTGAGGGGTCAGTTAGTAATCAGTTTGTTATCGCGCGACGGGAGCCGTACGGGTGGCGGTCGGCTCCAGAATGTAGTCATATCTGATTCGTCGGGCAATTCGAGCTCTAATTCAAATTCTCAGAACTGTATTCTCAATAATAACGACGATTTGCCCGACGGCTGGACAGAGTGTCGGACGTCATCGGGTCGAGTGTATTACGTGAACCACGAGGCGAGGGCTACGCAATGGGACAGACCGACCAACACTACGTTAGTTCACTCCCGTCGACACAATCACAACACAAACACTGAACAAAACGCGGCGAATAACAGTTCAAACGTGGCGTCGGGCGCCCCCAGCGGTAGCGATGCGCCGGTTGTGAGACCATATCAGCGGCGGTCGACTCGACACCGCAACTATTTGGCTCGCAATCACTTACACGAAGCCGTATTGAGTGCCACAAACTCTCATCAAAATCGATCACAAACTCAAACAACAACAACAACTCAATCAGAATTGCGTACAAATGCTAACACAGACGCGACGGTCAGTGATTTGCCCGAAGGTTACGAAATGCGACAAACGTCTCAAGTATGACATTGTATTGTATTTGTCACTGATTTTCATATATTAACGCACTATACTGTGTAATATAGGGTCAGGTGTACTTCTACCACGTGGAGACGGGTGTGTCCACTTGGCACGACCCCCGTGTGCCCCGAGAACTCATACAACAGGGCATTAATTTAGACCAACTCATAGGGCCAATGCTCAATGGCTGGGAAGTGCGACAAACCCAATCGGGTCGTCAATACTATGTCGACCACAACAATAGGACGACTCAATTCACTGATCCTAGACTTGTGGCCAACTCTTTGATGCTTCAAAACCTTCTGAAGTAAAACATTTGTTTTTAAAAAATGTTTTTTAATTTTAATACAAATGTTTAAAACTAATGTTTATTTCCAGCATTCGCTCGACTCGAAGTAATGGAGTTAACGACGAAAACAAGAAAATTAGTCAAAGTCTGAGCAATAATAATATCAATGAATTCTTGAGCAGTTCTCAAATACAACGACGAAATCTCGTACAGAAGATGAGTGCCTTAAGACAAGAGCTGCAGACATTTCAGCCCCAATCGGGTCACTGCCGTCTTGAGGTCTCGAGACAAGACATCTTCGAGGAGTCGTATAGAGCTATACTCAAAATGAGACCAAAAGATCTGCGCAAACGTCTGATGATTAAGTTTAGGGGAGAAGAAGGACTCGATTACGGAGGCATTGCTCGCGAATGGCTTTACTTATTGTCACACGAAATGCTTAATCCATATTACGGACTCTTTCAGTACACCAGAGATGATATCTATACCCTTCAGATTAATCCCGATTCTGCTATAAATCCGGTGAGTTTTGAGTCGTTATATAAAACAATTGATAATTTATATTAATATTTATTTGAATTGCAATTTTAGGAGCACTTGTCTTATTTCCATTTTGTCGGACGTATTATTGGTTTAGCCGTATTTCACGGCCATTACATCGACGGAGGGTTTACTCTTCCTTTTTATAAAATGCTTTTGAATAAATCGATTACTTTAGAAGACATCGAATCAGTTGATCCAGAATTGCATAGAAGTCTGTGTTGGATGTTGTGAGTGATATTTTTGTAGCACTTTTTATTGAATTTATTCTGAAATCAATATTTTGTTAACAGAGATAACGACATAACGAATGTGTTTGATATGACATTCGCTGTGAACCACGACTCGTTTGGTCAGCTCCAGGTCCACGAACTGAAGCCCAACGGACGCGATATTATGGTCACCGAAGAGAATAAGAAGGAATACGTTCGCCTATACGTGAACTTTCGATTCACTAATGGAATTGAACAACAATTCCAAGCCTTGCATAAAGGATTCTGTGAACTCTGTCCGCAACACCTCCTCAACCAATTCGATGAGAAAGAACTCGAAGTAATGTTCAGTTTTTATGTGATTGTTTGTGTGGTTACTAACGATTGTTTCGCCAACAGCTCGTTATCGGAGGTTTAGGAAAGATAGATCTCGCGGACTGGAAGTCTAACACTAGACTTAAACACTGCAACTCTGAGTCCAATATTGTTAAGTGGTTTTGGAGAGCCGTCGAGGAATATAATGAGGAGCGAAGGGCACGACTCTTGCAGTTTGTAACCGGCAGTTCTCGCGTCCCTCTTCAAGGTCTGTATTATTGGACACAATATGTGTTGTGAAATGTTGTTAATAATTGAATTTATTTGATAGGTTTTAAGGCACTGCAGGGGTCAACGGGAGCGGCCGGTCCGCGACACTTCACTATACATCTCATAGACTCGGATACCGTAAATCTGCCCAAAGCTCACACGTGTTTCAATCGCATAGACATCCCGTCTTACGAATCATACGAGAAATTGTACGAAAAGCTGACGCAAGCGATTGAAGAGACGTGTGGTTTCGCTGTTGAATAACAAAAACAGCCATTCATTCACACGATTCAGTGCCTAAACAAATATTGTTAACAATGTGTTCAAAATTCCTTCACTCTAACGATTGACTACTCTTTTACGAGTTTATGAAAACAAAATTATGTTTCGCTTCTTTGAATCTGTGATTACTATTTGTCGGGAAAAGGAATGCATTTCACGTATCGTTTGATTTCTCGACTTTTGTTCAAAATGTTTGTCTGAAAAAAATAGTTTTTTATTTACCGCTATTTTACGGTATTTTATCAGACTTTTTAATAGTGAGTGATTTTTTACACACAAAAAACTAATTGAGCTCTAAATCAACTTTTAGGAAAAAATACAAAACCACTTATGAATCATGACATTTAACTTAAAGCTAATATAAACCTATTATTTAAATTAATTGACAAATTTTATAGATATTTCTCATTGCATTTTATCTGAAAAAAGTTTCATAAAATGATAGATTTATGATATATTTGTGAATTGAGTCCAAATCCCAATCCAATCCTTATCTCATTTGTTTGCCATTAATCCATCAGTTATGCCATTCATCCCCTCATCTATCAATTCATATACAAATCCATTCATACCTTCATCTCATTGTAAATACAATTGTCTTGCATTTAAGCAATTTTTGTTATATTATGTGATATATTATGCGATAAAATGCATGATTGATATGATATTTGTTGAATCAATAAAATAACTTTTAAATGAAGTAATATTTGTAAGTTTAATCATTCATCATTGTATCATGGTCACTACAAGCAAACTCATTATTACGGTAGTCTTGTTGACTTATGTCTGCTAGTAATGGGCCATTACTAATGGCTATAATACTATCCGTAATGTATAGTAAACAACACGAATAATATAACAAATCATTATATTTAGAAGTAATAATAAAATTTAAGTATCATCATCATAAATCATCATGTCCTTCCACGTTCAATTCAGTGTCATTAGTAGGGGGCAAACAGGGGGCGGTGTTGTAACAGTATTTATGTGTGACCCAATGTATATGTGCAACGATTGCTGTAATTTTTGTAAATACTGTCACGTAATGAGTGGAAAGTGTTGTGCAAACTATCACTCGCTTTATAAACAGTGGCTTTAAATGCGAGGATTATCTCAATTGTGTCTGAATTGTGATCCACTCCTCAATACACACACAGTCTTACAGTCTTGGGATCAAGTCTTGTCTTCACATAGCGTTGCATTCAATGGTAAGTGATTTGATTGGTTCGCAAATGTGTTGTTATTGTTGTTATCATTTGTCAGCAAAAAAAAACTAATAATAAAGTGAGAGACCATTGAAGACGATATCTTCGGCTCGTATTTCAGTCACACATTTGTGACACAAAAATAACATATTTTTATTGTCCTTCAATTGCTATCAATTGAATGTCTGTGTCTTTACATGTGTTTTATGTGACAAACAATACACACATATGGACTCATTCATTGTCTCTCCACTTAATGTCCACTTAATTGTCTATTTATTTGACAGAAGATATTGAGTGAATGATCGGATCGACCGAAACGAGAAGCGATGGACGAGAAGCGAATCGCCGACTACTTTGTGTTGTCCGGCATTTCGGGCGAAAGTGGCGTCACTTTTGACGACAGTTTAGTTCAGGAAAGGCTTTCGGTGCCGAAGTCGGTGCAGACGCCGTCGGCGCCCATCACTGACATCACAGTCATTATCCGCAGCGCCGGCGAAGTGGTACCCAATGGGTACACGTGTATAGAGACGAGTCCATTGGGTTTCGCTGCGGACCTGAATCACGGCAGTCTCCGGAGTCCGAGTCTATTCATTTGCTACCGGAGGGGCAGAGATAAGCCGCCGCTCGTCGACATCGGTGTCCTCTACGAAGGGAAGGAACGGGTGATGTCTGACAGCGAAATCGTGGAAAACACTTTCGATGGAAAGCCGGCGAACGTGAATAACAGCGGTTCCCGTACTTTCCTCACCTTCAGGAGGGCTCGAGACAACGCCCCCTGCAATCAGTTAGTGGTGACCGATATTTGTGTCATTTTAGCCAATAAAGGAGAGTCACCCCCACATGCCTTCTGTCTCATCAACAAAAATCTCAATAAAGTAAGTGATTATGAATTTTATTTAATTTTTGTTCAGTTATATATTTTTTGCGCTATTTTTGTCGGATATAAGTGTTATATTTAATTTCAATAATACATTGTATAATATTTACTTAACGTCTAGTTTTACAATAGTTTTCAAATTTGATTTATAAGTAATAATAGAAACGATTATTTGTTTCAATCAAACGATGAGATTATATATATTTGTTTGGAGAGAAGAGCCGACAAAATGTAATGCGAGTACAGTATTGTTGAGATAAGGAAAAGGATTTTAATGCATAACATTTGGTTCACACTTTAGATAAACAATCAAACATTAAATGTTCGCTTGTGTTTGAAAATCAATTTTTCTCACAATCCATATCTTAAAAAACTTTTTATAATTTTATTCAAATAGTTATACTGAAATTTTTTGTACATTTGTATTATTTCTCAATAACTAATATTCGCTTAAAATTAACTAAATTAGTAACATTGAGGCATTGAGATCATAAATTATAATTGTGGTCATATTTGGTAGAATGATGTTAACTCATGTTATGTTTGGCGCGCAGGGAATGGTTGGTTCGGATGTGTTTATCTGTTACAAGAAGTCGATGAATCGGCCGCCTCTGCTCTGTTATAACCCGATAATTATAGGTCGGTTCCCATTAGAAGATTACCCGCATTATTCATTGCCAGAATCGGTGTCACTGTTTTGCTTCCCAATGGGGGCGACAGTTGAGTGTTGGCCCAAACGGGCACAACAGCCCAAACCTATATTCTCGACATTTGTGTTGACATCAGACTCGGCGGAGAAAGTGTACGGCGCGGCCGTCACTTTCTACGAGCCTCTGGTCGACCACCGGCTCAGCGATAAAGAGTTACAACATTTGACTTACTGTACAGAAGAGGATAGAGAGACTAAATCATTGCATAGAATCAAATCAATCTCTATTCTGAGTCGTTGGCCTTTTTTCGATACTTTTGAACGCTTTTTATTGTTTTTACACAAAACGTTTGTCATATCGTCGACAACGCCTCAGAAGATCCCATTAGAGCGCTATATATCTAATTTTATGTTAGAAATTCCGTTTCCATTACCGAATAGACCTAAGATTTTGGTCCAATTGGGTGCCAATGCAGACGAAACGGTACTTATATCACAACCACCAGAGTATATGCCATTGGCTCTGACCGGTGCTTCCTTTACCCAAATGCTTAGAAACTTAGGCCCAGAAAACTGTTTGCATGTATTATTGTTTGCATTGACGGAACAGAAAATTTTGTTGCATTCTTTACGGCCGGATGTGCTAACAAGTGTTGCCGAGGCTGTCGTCACAATGATATTCCCATTTCACTGGCAGTGCCCTTATATCCCGATGTGTCCGATAGGCTTATCCGATGTACTTAACGCTCCGCTTCCCTTCATTGTTGGCGTCGATTCCCGATATTTCGATCACTTCGAGCCCCCCATAGACGTGGCGGCCATCGATTTGGACACGAATTCCATCTATTTATCCGAAAGTAAACGACTTTTTAATCCAAAAATTATGCCAAAAAAGCCGACAAGAGTTCTGAAGAATACACTCGAAAAGCTTTTTGAGCGTTTAGTTCGACCGATGGCCGCGACTAATGGCGCCACTAATTCGGCACAAAAAGTGAGAACTAATTTATTTAACGATAATTTGCGGCTAAAAAAGATTGAAAGGAAAATAGAGATTGAAATACAGGAAGCGTTCATCAGATTCATGGCTACGATTCTTAGAAATTTTCGCTCATATTTATTGCCCATAACTCGTGCGCCGACTGTCGGGGCGACTGATCCGAGTTCTCTGTTTGATTTGCAGGGCTTTATTAAATCCCGCGACAAAACTTACCACAAGTTTTATTCATTAGTAATGAGAACTCAAATGTTTACGCGTTTTATTGAAGAGCGATCTTTTGTTTCCGACAAAAACATAAGTCTAGCCTTTTTTGACGAGTGCTCTGAAAAACTGGAATCGATGGGCGATTCCGTTGACTCGTCTTCAATGCGTTTATTAGATTTTGGGGATTATATCCAAAACGATCAAACAGTGTTCATACCTCCGCCCGAACCCATTGCACATGACATTCAATACACATATCAAGAGTTCGGTCCATTAGATCCACTATTGTTTCACAAAAATCCCACATTTTCTACACTTTCACGAATCGGTTCTCTTGTTAACGACAGCGAAGTCGGACTGTCGGAGAACTCATCAATCATTGGTCCGTCGAGTCCTATGTCTAAGCGAACGAAACAAGAGATAAGAAGTGCCCAAAAGGTGGCGCGAAGACACGCGGACTCGCCGATGAAGTGGTCGAAGTGCCTCTTAAGCTACTGTTATAGCCTATGGTTCCATCACTTACCCGCTTATGTCAAAGCGAACGCTTCATTCAAACCCAAACCATTGAGCACTGCCTTCGATGTCCTCTTAAGAATGCAATCAATAGGCTTTCATCCGTCCGATGAGGTCTGCTATAGAGTTATGATGTTATTGTGTGGCATATATAGCGAACCCGTATTAGCCGTCAAAGTATTGTTTGAAATGAAAGCTCAAAAAATAACTCCCAATGCAATCACTTATGGCTATTACAATAAGGCAGTGCTGGAGAGCACGTGGCCTACCGGTGACACCACCGGACAACTCATGTGGAATAAGTTACGCAATGTGATCGTAGGGGTGGCTCAGTTCAGACAAAACACTCGCATTAGATCCGCAAAACTCAGCCAACAATTGCAAGAAATTGAGACAAAAACTAATTCCATTCAGAGTTCTTCGGATTGCGGTTACGCCACGAATACGGAGTCAATCACTTCGGAACCAATTCCTCCATTCAGTCGAGTTGTGACCGATTTTAGGGAATCCGACGCTTTCAGGGAAAGGACTCGAAGTATTGTCCGAAAGTCTGGTTCGCATCTAAACTGTTTGCATGACTTCGACAGCGCGGCCGGCGTTCTCATGACAACTGATTTATCAAAGTTTTGCGATGGAATCGATTGTGAAGTTAATTGCATTCGAAGAAGACATAAAAGTGTAGAAATTGACACAAAAGACATTAAAGATATTAAAGATATAAACCGAGAATCGGATAAAAATATGGTTCCTTTAAATTCCAATTCTCCGAAACCATACCTCAGATCTCAAAGCTTTGGAAACGACGAGAAAATTGTACAAAAATTAAGATATGAAGCGTTGAAAGGATTGACAGCAAAGTTGCAACAAAATAGTCCTAACTTTAAGAAACCGTTGTCTAAGGATAAAGAGCCAGAGATTACTAAAAGAATGGCTTCGTCTGGAAATGCATTTAAGACTATTGGAGGTCTTTCTCGTTGCGCTGAAGTCCCAGAAAAAGAGGAACAAGAAGAAGGCGGTGGCGATGAAGTGGATGGCGAAGTGGAAGTGATGAAGAACTGGAAGAATAACTTAAACAATTCAAAGATTCTTGAATCAAAAGACTGTGAATCAACTCAAACCTCTGGTCAAACAATTCGCGAATCTTCTGTCACTTCCAATGACTCTAAACTTACGACTAAGAGCTCAGAAACTATGGATTCTAACAAAGGCTCTGAAAATTCTGCTGATTTGTCAAAAAGCAGTGCAAACAAAGAGGGGTTGTCTTCATTTAGTCCACTAAAGGACGCCATAATGAATATGGAGTTGTTTTCACCCGAAGGCAAAGTTGCGTCAACTCTGCGCTCCAGTTTCCGAATTGCCAGTCGTTTCGCTAAGTCTTCGCCGTCAACGAAGACCACTCTTTCTCGAAGTTCTACTTTTCATGAGTCAAACCATAGCTCTTCCGAGAAGACACTTAACAAAATCGGGTCTTTCTTTAGGAGAGATCTTCAGAAAACTGAATCCGATTCGGGCTCTAAAGTGAAGAGTATGACGCGTTCGGCAACACTGCCACCGGTCTCGCCCTCAAAGCTAACCGACGATAAGACAGAATTTGACGGTAAGACTGATAAATGCGAAGCCATTGGAAATAAAGATTGCGTTTCGACGGAAAGTCTCGATGAGTTGGGAACAGAAGAAGACAACAGCAGAGAAAATTCATTACTTAACTTGAGTTCTCAGTGGACTAACAGATTAGCGGCGAATAAACACTCGGAATATGTCTATTCGACCATCAAATCTGCGGCCAATAATATGGCGACTCGTTTTAGTGGATTAAAGTCTTCATTGGCTTATTCGACGTCCTCTCCAAACAATTCTCCATCAAAACTGATGGGAGCGTCCAATACGTCAGGTGTGGTGACAGGAGTGGCGACGGGCACAGCGAACCTGTTGTCGCAATGGGCCACACAATTAGCCGAGAAGTTTCCCTCCAATTTTGCCTTCGATGACGACGACTGCTCGAGTAATAACTCATTTGATATGAGAAGAAACAGTTTCGCCTCTGAGGAGGAATTGAGCGAACGGTCGCGTGAGGGGAGTCTCGGTCGCAATTTCACCGGTTTTGGCAGTAATTCCAGCGCTTCTCCTCTCTTTGATCTCTTGGAGAAACACTATTCTTCTCCATTGGAGCCAAACATACCGTCGACTGAAACAGATATGGAAGTAGTGATGACTTCGTGTTCGCGATGTTATACTTGTTTTTCAATCATTTATGACGAAGAGATTATGGAGGGCTGGACTCCCGATGACTCCAATCTGAACACTTGCTGTGCCTTTTGTACTTCAAAATTCGTTCCTTTACTTACCATAACAATCAATGTAAGCCTCAAAAGCAATTTAGTGTACATTTATTTAATTATTTGTCGATTTAATTAATAGGATATGAGAACTGATTTGATCGACGATAACATTGAGCCAAAAGAGTGAGTTTCTAACAAATTTTAAAATTTATAAATGAATTGAATTTTTTTATTTCAATTATGAGAAGCGATTTGAATGAGCCGTCAGAAGACGTGATTGACTCGTCAAAGAGCGAGCAAACCATTGCTCAAGAGATTTGTCAAAATGAGAATCATTTACATAAAACAGTAAATTCGACGCCTTTAGAGCCCATAACTGTCCCGTATTTAAGTCCATTAGTATTGCGCAAAGAGGTTGAGAATGTGCTGAGCAATGAGGGAGACCTGTGTCTCGCAAAGCCTGAGTTCGTCGACGAACACCCAATCATATACTGGAACTTAATTTGGTATTTCAAACGCGTCAATCTTCCCTCACATCTTCACGGCCTATGTCTTTACGCCAACACTTTCAACAAAAATAGAGTAATTTTCAAAACAATTTGATTTCTAACATCTTATTAATTGGTTTGCATTTTTATAGACACAAAATGGCGATAATTTTAAACTTAATGATTACCAGAGAGTGTCAGTTCGTTGTATGTGGGATAACGAGAAACTACACGATGATATTGGTAGCAGTCCTTTGCATAAACTATGGCTCGAGTCTTGTAAGTGATCTCAACTATTCATAGCACTGTTTTACACCAATTATTAATTGCTAACCAAATGTTAAGCCTTGAGTTCGCCACTCGTGCACGCGTTGGTCACCGATGAGCGCAAACTGACGCGCGGTTTAATGCGACAAATAATAACATCGATTCAATGCAACGATTTGTCGACACCAATGAAATTACTGATTACTGAACGCCTCAAACTGAACGCTAAGAAGAGCACCGCTAAGCAGCACAGCATATATCGGGACCTACTTTTCCTATCGTTTGTCGCTTTGGGTCGAGAAAACATCAATAATTGTATGCATTTTAATCATTAGTGTTGAGATTATCATTGAATAAATGATTTCTTTAATTATAGCGGCCTTTGATCGCGAATATCGTCGCGCCTTCGAGTCGATGACACCCAAAGATCAGATGGGTTTGACAGCCATTGATAAGCCGCCATCGATTGGCATTATATTCTGTCGCCGTTTCTTCAAAGAACTGGAACTGAGACCACAATCGGACAACAATTTGCTCATCAATTCAGCGAACAAATGATACGTTTGTTATGCTCTAAGCGTTGTGTCATTTGTATGTCGTTTTTTAATGCCTATTATTAACATATATTTTATTTGTTTATAACTTAGAAATGACTTTTATTTTATTTTTTTGTTGTATTTTAAGTTTTATTTTGTAATTATAGTTAATTCCTGTAAATAGTATTTAACTTTGAAAATACTGTCCAGAAATGCATTTAATTTATTAAAGTTTTTAAATTTTATAAATTGTTTGACAAGTAATGACCGGACAATCAGACGACCGATTAATTGATTGATTGTATGCATTGAGAAAGCAATGAAAAAAGTATTAAAAATTGAATAAAAGTTTTTAAATCACAAATAATTTGATAATAATTTCAATAAAAAACAATTTAAACGAAGAGTTTAACGATTGGTACAAAAAGACTCGAATAGTGGACGTAATTGATGTGATTGTATGGCAAGTGTTTTCACTCATTGTTTTGTTGTGTTTTGTATTTATTGGCAAAAATGTCGGACAATAGAGACGACCGACGATTGAGTGATAAAAACGATAACATTATTAAATCAAACAAACGGTAAGTGTTTTGAGTTATTATTTGTATCAATGATTGAAATGACATATCGATTGACGCTTTGGTTGCATTGCTTTTGTCCAAAGAGTTGATCCGATGGACGAGTGGTCGCCGCCGACCGACGCCTCGAAAGGGGCGGCCATTAAATCGCAATCCAATCACAAGAAGTCACACAAAAGCAAACATAAGAAACACAAAAAGGATGACAAACACCGCGAAGTGTCGGCCACTCGTGAGGACAAGTCGTGTTCAAAGCATTCAAAGCACTCAAAGAAGTCCAAAAAGGAGAAGAAGAAGGATAAGGAGAAGCGGCCGAAGACATCGCTTTCTAAATCGGACGAAGAGTTGGAGGAATTGATTAAACAGAAGAAGCTTTTAGAGAAGGAGTTGATGGACGAAGAGCTGAAGCAGAAGAGCGGTTCCAACGATACACACACTAGTCATTCAAACGCCAGAAGTGGTGAATCAAACGGCGAACCATTGAATGGTATGAATGGATACAAAGATTGCGATTTAAAAGACAATGAATTGAGAGTCAAAGAGAGGAAGAATGCGACCAAAGATGCGGTGGTTTTGGAGTCAAACGACAAGAAGAGAAAAGCGACGAATGATTTGCACAAAAATGAGAAACACTTGAAATCTAGTGAGAAATCAATTAAATCTGAATCAAAGACTAAAATGGTTTCAAAAGAGAACTCGAAGTCAAAGGAAAGTCGAAATACAAGAGAAAACTTGAATAGAGATAACAATAGAGAAGAGAGAAGTTCTAAGGAATTGAAGCCAAAAGCGATCGAAAGTTCAAATTTGAATGAAAAAAGACAACATTCCTCTGAAGACAGACATTATATAAAACGAAGCAGAAGTCAGTCCAGAGATCGTCAAAGACATATCACTCCAGACAGAAGTGACAGAAATCGGATGGAAAGGGGAGACGAGAGGAACAATAGAAACGATCGATTCGACAGATTTCGGGATAAACCGGATCATTGGAACCGAAGATATGAGTCCAATAGACGATCGCCTCATAATTGGGATAGAGATAGGGGTAGAGATAGAGATCGGGAAAGGGATAGAGGAATGTATCGAAGCGGTGACCGGGAAAGGGAGGACAGAAATAGGGAAAGGGATCGCTTCAGACGCCAAGACGATCATCAAAGGGGATCCAAGAAAGGCGGCAGACATTACGACAAGTACTCGAATGAGTCGTTTGGAAACAAAAACGCAAACCAAGAGTCGAGTTCTGATGAGTCCAACAATTTGGACGTCGATATCAACGAAGACGAAAACGAAGAACAAGAGATTGAACGGCGAAGAAAACAACGGCAAGAATTGCTGCAAAAGCTGAGCACAGATTTGGGTAAAGGAAACGATTGTAACGACGCCTCCAATTCTGGGTTCTCTTCTTATCAAAACTCTCCCACAAAAGAAGAATCGGATAAGAATTCGGACAAAATGTCGGAAAGTATATTAGACGAGGACTCGAGACTGGAAACGTTCGACGAGATCTCCAAACGGGTAGACGAGACCGAAGAAGAGCTTCAAAATGACACCGATTTGGAGCCATCGGGCGATCAGAAGCAGGAGTCCATCAAAAGAAAACCGGTTGACATGTTCTCAGATATTGACATTTTTAGCGCTGATTATAACTCTCCGTGCGATCAAAACCACTTTAGAGCGTCTGGAGCTGAAAACCCGGCCCTTAATGACAACTGGGACGACGCGGAGGGCTATTATCGTAAGTGTTTTGCATTTTACAAATGATTGTCAATTTGTTTTGATATAACAAACGTTTGTTTAAAGGTATAAGAATTGGCGAAACACTTGACGGGAGGTATTCAGTGTACGGCTATACAGGACAGGGAATGTTCAGTAATGTTGTTCGCGCTCGAGATAAGGCCCGATCTCAGCAAGAAGTGGCCGTTAAGATCATCCGAAACAATGACATCATGTAAGTCTCAAATGTCTATTCAGTAATGATTTTGTATATTAATTGTTTGTCTTTTTGCTTGAATTGTAGGCATAAAACGGGTTTAAAAGAATTAGATTTTCTAAAAAAGTTGAATGATTGCGATCCCGACGACAGATATCATTGTTTACGTTTGTTCAGACATTTTTATCATAAAAATCATTTGTGTTTAGTCTTTGAGTCTCTTTCCATGAATTTGCGCGAAATTCTCAAAAAGTATGGAAAGGATGTCGGACTCCATATAAAGGCTGTCCGCTCTTATAGTCATCAACTATTTATGGCATTAAAGCTCCTAAAGAGGTGTAATATAATGCACGCCGACATCAAACCCGATAATATTCTGGTATATATTTTGCAACATTTATTTTTACCGTAAAGTGTTTTACTGATTACTGTTTTGTTTTATAATTATAGGTAACTGAAAATAAATTAGTGTTAAAATTATGTGACTTTGGTTCTGCCTCTGATGCCAACGAGAATGAGATAACACCCTATTTAGTGAGCCGTTTCTATCGAGCGCCTGAAATAAGTAAGTATTTTGTGGCAAACCGTATACTGTATTGTATTGATTGGAATTGTTATACTAATTGTGTATTTGTTTGACAGTATTGGGACACTCGTATGACTTCAGTATAGACATGTGGTCTGTGGGCTGTACTCTGTATGAGTTATATTGTGGAAAAATTATGTTTTCCGGTAAATCCAATAATCAAATGCTTAAATTTTTTATGGACTTCAAGGGAAGAATGAATAACAAGTTCGTACGGAAGAGCGCTTTCAAAGACCAGCACTTCGACGCTAACTGTAATTTTCTCTACCAAGAGGTCGATAGGGTTACTGAAAAGGTTAGTCGATATATCAATATGTTTACGGTATTATAGTTTAACGTATAATATCATTGATTTTTTATAGGACAAAATTGTTGTCATATCAAACATACAGCCCATCCGAGACCTGAACTCAGAGTTAATAGCGGACCAGACATTGGATGAGACCGAACACCGAAAAGTGTCTCAATTGAAAGATATCTTAGAAAAGATCCTTATGTTAGACCCGACCAAACGGTTGACTATAACACAAGCACTCAGTCATCCATTCATTACCGATAAGATGTGATGACAGAAGTGAGTCCTTTGGTCTGTATTTGGTCTATAATTTATGTCTTAAATGAATATATTTATCAAAATTTTATTTACTATTTATAGACAACTAAAGCAAATGATTATATTGTTTATGCGTTCACAGGATATGTATGTAATTGAGTGAACAGTTATGATAATTATTGAGTTTGTTTTTATTCATTTTAATTTGTCTATCAATCTATTGATAACTATTTTTAAATTAATTGTACAGACATTGCGAAAAAATGTAAATAAAATACCGTTCCTTTTGTGCACCATTTGTTAGGTTTGTCTGACAATCATTTAACTGGACTTTGTGTTAATGTCACCGAAAAAATACAAAATACAAAAACTTTTGTATTTTAATAATTGAAACTTAATTGCTGTTGAGATCCGAGACAAGTGTTATACCATTGGTAATTGAAACTCACATTAAAACCCATTTGTGATAATCATTTGTTAATTTATTTTTCCGAATGAAATGATTAAATAAATTTTGTTTTCAATTTTGATTAATTAGGCGTTTTTTCGTCCAAAATAAGTCTCTAAGCGATCACTTCTTTGGTCACAGAATTTAGATTAAAGTATGAAATAAAGTAATGCTTTTCGAAAGAAATTTGCTTTCAATTTCACTTTAAAACTCTCTAATACTTGTATTTTACAGGAAATTTATTCACCAAAAAATGTGTGTTTGGATTCACAGAAACTCAAATTTTAAATTAGTTTGTTTTGTCTTAACTTATTTTGTTATACTCTCTAAAGAATTAATGATTGTTTTGATTCATTCAAGTAAGTGATGGGCGAATGAAAATCAATAAGTATGCTATTCTTGATAATGTGAGAAATTTACACTAAATAGTAGTGCCTTTTATTTGCTAATCAAGGATCGGTTTGAGACCGGATTGTGGCCATTGTTTGCTGCAATTGACTAAATGGAAAGAACTGCCATTCAATTGACGGTTTCGCTGATGTGGTGGACACTCATCTCTATAGACCTGTTGGAACCACATGTCTGACCAACAAGTGATTCCAGAATTGATTCCATAATATAGTCGTTTTGCACACAAACATTGCTATAATTTGTGTCCCAAACTGATCCGAGATTGTCATATAAAGCACCTGATCTCAAGACGGGTACAGTAAGTATTCATAACATTTTCAAAGTGTTTGAAAATGTATAATAAAGAATAAGATTGTTGTGATGGCTGTAATTCAATCATAGCATTAATGCACTAAATGATAGCAATTAATGTAATATAATTGCAATTATCAATAAAGGTAAAGTATAAAGATATTCCCTCGCATATAAATATCAAATATTTTCATTACAATATATAATTAAACATTTAAAACATTTCATAATAAGATAAATGAGTTTTAAAATAATGTGTTAATTATATAATTGTTGAATATTTTATTTGTTGAATACCTTTTTTGGAGATCATATCATCTGATCATTTAATTGTAGTCGTGTTTGTGATAACTTGTTGAGGGAGTTATACAGCAATTGTAGGCCTGGGATCACAATAGCTGTGGGATTATCCACAATACAGTACACACACTGTATGTCTCTTTTGATATATTCATTGCTTTTTAATTGAATTTTTATGAAAATATGAATAATAAAAATAATAATACAAAAGTTGTCATCAGATTCTTTCAATTGTAAAATATATAATGTTTTTTCAATTAATAAACTATTTGTTTAATTGAAGGACAGCTTAATATACTGTCTGTTTGAAGAATTAAAGGGAAATTATTTGAATGAATGCTAATCTTTGCATTTTATTCATTAAACTCTTTTCATTGCATTTGTTTAATGTTTTGTGAAAATTATTTTTGGAGTTCAATATATTCTATGGTTTGCGTTATTGAATGTATTAATCCATAACTAATGAAAGTTATATTTAATCATTTGATGAAATATTTTTTATACAAAGAAAATACTTTGATTGCATTCCTAAATGAAAATCTAATTAAAGATAGTTTTAAATTGATTTAATTATTGGTTTTTTCCATATAATTAAAATGCTTTCATTTATGTATCGATTTCTAACTATTTTATGAGAATGTTTTCAAAATGTTATTCAATGAGAGATAATTTCAAAGACATGCAAACGGAATGATTGGATGTTATTATAAGATTATATTTCATCAATAGTTTAGGTAAGCCTTCAAACGTCAAAATTCCCAACTTTTCACTCGTAATACTCGCGAAACCAATGAATACTTCGGTATATAATAAACCGATAAATGATTTATTAGTGCGAAAGCAAACGACAGAAGGAAATACAAGAATTGAATCAACGATTTAAAGGCCGAACTTGACATCCTTTGCCAAAATGCTCATCCATTCGCTCCCTATCTTCACATTCAGTACACGTTATTGGGATAGAGAGGGAGAGATCCAAAGGGAGGGATAGGTGTGAATGTATTGAGACATTCGGCAGTTATTTAATCATTGCATTTAAAAATATGATTTGAGAGCAAATTCTGATTGAATTCAAGGCTGACGAGAGCTGAAGGCGATATCGGATGGGATGATGGGATGGGTGTTGTACCTCAACGAAGAGAGTATAGTTAATACTCTCTAAATGGACATCACTATAGGCTGCGAAGGAATTGTCTGTCCTTCACCACACAATTGTATAAAAGACAGCATTTAGTCGTCTATTCAATTACTACAACCTTTTGCTCATTTCTATTCACATATTTGTTTGCAAAGCAAATCTTAACGCAAATCTTTCAAACATGAAAGCAGTCGTAAGTTTGTTTAACTCTTTCTAAATTTGTTTGATTTAACAAAAGCATTGATACAATTCAGGCACTCATCGTTTTTGGATTAATCGCTTGCGCGAGCGCTGGTATCCTCAGCCCATATGTGGGATATTCCGGGTAATTATTGCGAGTTTATAATGTTTGTGTCGGACACTCATTCACACCATATGTATAACCCGTTCACAGCTATTACGCGGCGCCGACAGTCGTGTCCCGCACTTACACCTCACACCCGGTTGTGTCGCGCGCTTACGCCGCTCCGTACGTGTCGTCCTATGTCTCGCCGTATGTCTCGTCGTATGCCTCGCCGTACGTGTCATCGTATGTGTCGTCACCGTATGTCAGAAGCTATGTGTCGGCGCCATACGTGGCCGCACCCGTCGCTTATAGCTCGGGCTATTCCTACTCGCCGTACTCCGCCTATAATTATCTCCTCAAGAAATAAATGACCACAAAATGAATGTTAACTTTGATTCTCGACACCATATTTGACTCTTTTATTGATAAGCTTTAGGCTTTCAATTTGAAAACGAAATTTTTTTGTACTTAAAATCTCTGAAAATTCGGTTTATTTTGAGAAATCCGATTATACAAAACAAATTGTGATTGATTTTTACATTTTCTAAACGTGTAAACTATTTTTACATCTAAAATAAAAAATAAAATTATAAATATTCTTGCAATATATTTACTGATTTTTAAATTATTTCCATAACTTAAACAATATTGAATACAGTAAATGGAAGTGAATATTTTTTATTAATGATAAGATATCTATTATAAATATTAAGTAGACAATCGTCTTGTGTTTCATTAAATATTAATACTGTATTATTAATGATAAAAGCAATCAACTAACTTACTTGTTGGTTACTTTATAAACTATAGCATTCAACGATAATAAGATTGTTATAACATTAAAACTTTTTAGGCAATGATTTGAAGATAGGGTTATAAAGTTATGACAGAAAAGGTTTGTTAACATCTATTCCTAACATGTTTTCTAACGCCTTTTTATTAGAATTTTAATGAAATATATCATTCAAATGACAAAATTCAATTATCAATTGGGAGTAAAGGTAACTGAATAAGTGAGAGAGTGAGTGAGTGAGAGGGGGATAAAGAGAGAGAGAGAGAGAGAGAGAGAGAGAGATCTAGAATTATTTATTTTGAGCAATTAATCATATTTTTATTAACAGAAAACAATTTCAAAACTAATATTTATGTGACAAATGAAGGGAAATGTGTATAAACTTCTGGGGA